ATTGATTTTGAAGATAATGGATTGTGTATGGAGTGAATCCACTATCTAAAAAATCATAAGTATTAGGTTGTGGTTTATGCACTTTAGCAAAAGGAAATTTGGTTTCATCAAAATAAACATGCCGACAAGTGATAATGTTATTACTTGATAAATCCAAACACTTATAACCACGATGATTCAAAGGATATCCCAAAAATACACAAGGAGTTGAATGAGCTTGCAATTTGTTTATTGTAGTAGATGGAAAAAGAGGATAACACAAACATCCAAAAATCCTAATGTGAGAATATAATGAATCTTTTTGGTATAGAACCTTTAGTGGGGACTCGTTGGCCAATAATTTACTCGGAAGTATATTATGTAAATATGTTGCCATTTGCAATGCATGATGCCAAAATGAAGGTGGTACAGATGCATGAACAAGAAGAGTTCTCATGATATTATTAATGGATCGAATTTTTCTTTCAGCTTTCCCATTTTGTGAGGAAGTATGTGGACATGAAAAACGAAATGCAATGCCATTCGAATCACAAAATTTCCAAAATAAATTATTATCAAATTCTCCCCATTATCACATTTTTAATGTCACGTTCAATTTGAGTTTGAATATGTGCTTGAAGTTTTGCAAACATAGAAAAAACTTGTAATTTTTTAGCAATGGGAAACGTCCACAAATATTTAGAATAGTCATCCAAAAAAAGCACATAATAACGATGTCCCGAAGAACTCAATACGGGGGATGTCCAAAGATCACTATGAATAATATCAAAACGCATAATTGTCATAGATGTAGATGCAACAAATGACAACTTAATATGTTTTCTGAGTACACAAGATTGACAAACCTTAGACCTAGAGGTACGAGTACAATCAATCATTTTATTTTGTCGAAACGACTCTAAAACTGAGGCTCCCGGGTGACCCAAACGATCATGCCAGAGGGACGACGCTAAAAAAATAGAATTTGGAGAAATTATATTCTGACTTGTGGAGGATATGGGATATAGCTCACTTGTGCTATCACACCGCATTAGGCGCGTCCCTGTCTGCAAGTCATCCACAGAAAATCCAAACGGATCAAAGATTACAAACACATTATTATCAGTAGTAAACTTCCTTACCGACACTAATTTTTTTTTTATGATTTTAGGTGCATGAAGGACATTTTTTAAGGATAATGGTGGGTTTGGTGGAGGTAAGGATGTATGTCCATAACCGCGAATTGGAATTGAGTGTCCGCTACCAACAAGAATTCCATTATTTTTGCTCAAATTAAAATAAGACGAAAGATTACCTTGTGTGGACGTCATATGAGACGTTGCCCCGGTGTCCATGTACCAATCCAAATCAGGTCGAGAAAGGGACATCGTATGCATTGTCGATTCAATGTCCGTTGGAGTTGTTGTTGCATAGGCTTATTGTTGTTGTGGTCTCGGGCCCAATACACCAGGTTGTCTTGGCTTAGGTTGATGAGCCCATGGTTGAGTTGGGTAAGGACATGAAGGCATGGCCCAAGGAGCTTGCATCAACGCCCACCAAGGAGGTTGAGTCCACTACTGCTGATTCCAATGTTGTCCACCACCACCGGTCTGACTACCCCAGCGGTTGTTGCTGTGTCCGCCACTAGCTTGGTTGTTACCATCGCCCTTATTTTTGTTACGATTTTTGGTATTGTTGTGGTTTTTATTGATCGTTGCATGACCATTGGAATTATTGCTTTTGATGTGGTGTTTGAAAAGAAGAACCAGCATCAGGAGAATAATTATTAGCAACAAGGGCAGTGGAACCAGAATCTTGCTTTGCTCGCTCCAAAAGTGTGGTCTCCTTCAATGCAAGTTTGGACCAAGCCGTAGCAAAGGTAGGTAAGGTCTTCTTGTTCTGCATCACGGGGACAACATTTGAGTATTGTTCTGTCAAGCCTTGAAGCATTTCCAGAACCATATTGTGATCACTGATCGGAGCCCCAACATTGGCTAGTTGATCGGAAATACTTTTAAGACGATTACAATAAGCATTTGTCATCGAAAAATCAGCAAGGCTTGTGTTGGTAAATTCCTTATTAAGGTACATAGCCCTTGAATTTTTATTGTCTTGAAAAAGATCAGCAACACTTTTCCAAGCATGTTCAGCCGAGTCATCGTCAATGAGAATGAAGGTGAGGATGTCGGAAGAGATCGTGGCATAAATCCACTGCAAGACCACTGCATCAAGGCGCTTCTAGAGAGTGATATTATCGACTTTGGTCTTCTCATATGTATCATTCGCCTCTGCATCGGTAGGAAGGATGATATGTTCAAGCACGTCATGGACTCGTGCTTGAACTTTGAATAACGCCGACCATGAGCAGTACTGCCCAGATTCTAAATCCAACGTGATAGGAATAAGGGATTTCACATTGGTGATAGACAAGGCAGGATGGGATTTTTGAGTTTCAGACATGGTTTTCACATTAGGTGATGATGTTTCAGACATGGTTAAGTAGAAAAGGATTGCGGAAGCAAGAGAAAGTAAAGGGTGAGGACGCGTGATACCATAAAAGAATATAATTCCTTGATCTTTCTATTCCATGATCAATCAGTATATATACAAGAATTCCTAGCATTCCCTGCTGTCAGTCCGTAACATAATGCTTATCTCCAGGCTATATCTATGGTAACTAATAGTATATGTTCAACACCAAATAATACTCATTAATATACAATAATATACAATCAATAATAAGTCCAAACTAATAATGATTATTGCCTATTCTATCAGCAAATGGATATCCATGGGAACAGATACTATGATATCCATATCCGTCCCATTAGATAAATATGATATCCATATCCGCCCCATATCCTTGCGGATATCCGTTAAGCGGGTAATCCGCGGATTTTACGATATCCACATATATTTACAGATATCCATGAATAATATATTTTTTTTATAAAAATTATTCTTTTAAAAAATATTTTTTAACTTCCTTTAAAGACTCAAAAAATTATTATCACATAACATCCATACAATTCGCTCTTAATTTAATAATAAAATTTCATCACATTAACTTTTTTCTTATTCACCAAAACATAATTAGATCCAAACATAATATCTATACATTTCATTTTACCAAACAAATAAAAGATTTTGTGATTGTGAGTTATGATGAAAGATCGAACGACAAAAAAGTAGGAAGAGAGACACTTGTTCGACAAAGGAATGACGATATTAGTTGGTTGGACAGTGAAATTGATGAAGTGAGGTATAAAGTATCGAAGAGTTTAAATATGAAATGACTAATAAAATTGAATGAAAAGTAAAAGATTTTCTTCAAAGAAAATTTCAAAAAAAAAAAGAAAGAAGTATAAGAAGATTAATTGTTTTTAGAAGATGAAAAGATAAAGTATAATAAATTAATGATATTTAAATCATTTTTATAATTTATAAACGAATATGGATATGCGCATGTATGAATATCATTAAACTCATATCCATATTCATTAACAAACAGATATTTAAATATCTATTTATTTTATCTATGGATATTCATTAAACTATCCGCCCCATATCCGTGACGGATTTTATCCACAGATATCCACGGGTACAGATTTTTTTTGTCATTCCTAAACACCATATGCAGTCGTCAATCAAATCGGTGTCACCATTGAAAAAGTAAGTGAAGTCGTCAATTCATCTGACGTCATCACTTCGTTCTAAATTTTTTTTTGTGAAAGTGGAGTAGATTGAATTTTTTTTCATACTGATTTTTTTTTTTGAAATCGGTATTATTTTGGGAATAATTTTTAAAATATGAGTTATTTAGGTAAAATATTAAAAAAAACGGATTTTGCATTTTAAATTTTTTTATCTTTTGGAAATTATGAAATTATAAGGGTAAAATAGTCAACTAAACAAAGACTAATCTGCTTGTTATTCGCATCAGAGTCTGTAAGTTAGACAGATCGAACAAGACCTAGGAAGCACTACAACAACACTCCCCGGAAGGAAAAGTGACCCCCATTTCCACCACGTTGTAAAGGTATCATCGCCGTATTCTCAATTTTTTCCGATCCCTTCCTTTCTCTTATTAACCGCGTCGATCTCCAATTTCCATCATCATTAGAAATTTCAATGTTCTATATCACAAATTCATTATACCGACACTTATTCTCACAGATGCGATATTTTTTTACTTGATATGGTTTATGAGTTTTCAGATCGGGGCTTTTTGTTTCTATTGTAGGTTTGTATGTATCAATTCTTTAGTCTTCTGATAATGAGATCGTAACGAAATTGTAAAATTTCATGATCTATTTTGATTTTCAATTGTAAGCGCTAATGAGAGAATTGGAAGCTAGGATTACAATTTAGGTCAAATGCTGATGATGATGCAGCTGTAAATTTAGTTGTGAATTGTGATGTGGCCATGAAGTTTCGAAAACCTTTATCATATTGTCACAATTCCGATTAGGCTATGTTTGGATTGATATCGTCAGATGAAGTGGTATGGGATGGAAGGAATGGACTGGTGTTCCATTGTTTGGATCATATAAAATCGGATGGAAAATCAGATGGAGCAGAGTGGAATGGTATGAATTTCATTCCATTCCATCACTTACCACTATTTCTTCCCCCTCCCCCTCGAATTTGGATGGAATGAAGAATTTGTCTTGTTCTGTCATAAAATTTCCGAATGATGGGAATAGAATCTTCATTTCTCTCCGTTCCATTCCGCTCTGCTACTTTCCTTTCTGCGTTGTTCATTTTATGATTTCCAAACATCGGCAGGCTAGGAAGAACAATTTTGATCATGATAGAGTTTAGCTAGTTGATTTTTTTTACCCTTTTGTTTTGCATTCAAATTTGTGGTTTTGATGATATGTTGAGTCGTGATGGCAGAGTCAAATTTTGGAGGGTGGCAGGATAATTTTAAGATTGATTTTTGTGATGTAAATCAATTTTGCAACATCATAAACCAGGTTATTACTCACTAGTGTTTTGTTTTTATCGTGGTGTTACAGATGATTGATGATAATGATCTGGGTTTCTTTGCCAATTTTCTTGGTGTTTTCATCTTTGTGCTGGTGATAGCATACCACTATGTCGTGGCTGACCCAAAGTATGAAGGAAACTAGAGAAGTTTTGAAGTTGAAGATGTAGTTTTATATTGTTGTAGACTGAGATGCTTTGCAAGTGGAATTCAATGTGATAGAATTATGAACTTCAGTTTGGAATATTAATGCTAGATTGCTACTAAAACTTTTATAAACATCAATTGAGTACAACTTATTTATTTATTTTTGTTATACTTGTGTGCATGGTAGTAAAAGTCCCAATTTCAATTGTAAAATCTTACGATTTTGCAATTATGCTCGGCGGGTATGAGGACGCATAATCTGTTTTTGGTGAAATCGTGTGGAACGCAGTTTTAGCAGCTTTAGTTGTTTTGTTTGAGACTTGTCAGTTTGATTTAAGGTTTAAATCACATAAAGTGTTACGCCGCCGTTATGTGAATGTTGCTATTTTAGTTACTCAAGTATTTCAAGTTTTAACTACATAAGTGTAATGCAGCTGGGCTGTTTTCTGAGTTATGCCAATTAATTTAAATTTATAGTGGTGAAGGCTTGGGTCTTGAGAGGGTGCTTCTCTCAAGGTATCAGGTTTGAATTTCGCTAGGTGCTTCTTTCAAGGTATCAGATTTGAATTTCGCTAGGTGCTTCTCTCAAGGTATCAGGTTTGAATTTCGCTAGGTGCTAACAATTTTTGTGTTGGACCAAGTCTATATAAAGAGTTTTAAACAGGCCCTTGCAAGTGGACAGTGAGATTGGTGCCTTTAAATTAGTCAGTCGCAAATCGGATATCAAGATTTCAAAAAATAAATAAAAATTATAGAAGTGTTTCAACTGTCATGTAAGATTTTTTTTTTTTTTACTTATACTATTTTATATGCATATATATGAATTTTTATGCATATTTTTGATATTTATGAATTTGGTATAATCTACAATTAGTGTTGCGGTTCCACAATTTACAAATCAATTTACAAATCTACTTTCGTTTTTCATTTTTGCATAAAATATTGATTTTAACTACCTTGCTTTGTGGTCAAGGAACTTTCAGAAACAAGCTAATGAAAAAGCGAATCAAGTTTAAAAGGCTTGTTAGATAATGTGTTACTATATCAAGGTGCAATAACAGTCTGAGCAAGATAGTATTGTTTCTTTTTTCATTGGTGAATTTGGGCTAAGATACCACTGATATGTTTGTATTTGCGATGGATGCTAGTTAAAATCCCAATTTGAATTGTAAAATCTTATGATTTTGCGGTTATGTTTTGCCCTCAGCGATTATGAGTATCTCTTTTTGGTGGAACAGTGTGGAATTGTCCGTGTTAATCGTGGAATTTATAATGTACGATCTTTGAAACGAATTAAGTTTAGAAGGTTTGCTAGATGGTATGTTACTATTATATGTTGGTGCAATCACAATGTGAGCAATATAGTATTGTTTCATTTTTCTTTGGAGTTTCTAAATAGACCTTTCCCTTTATTGACGTTGATATTGCATGCATATCATTTGTGAGTTCAGGCTATTTGCATGGTTGCTACTGCTACTTTACGTGAATTGAAGAATAAGGTGATTTATTTAATATAAAGTTGGTTTATACCACATCAAGGATTGAATTTTCTTTTTAGGGTGCTTTAAACATCAATTTATGGAGTTGAATCACTTCCTCTTTTCAATTGGATGAATTTATACAAGATACTATCTGCATGTCATTGGTGAAAACTTGTAAGTCTAAATCTCTTATTGGGGTCATTTTGGAACCATAGTAATATATTTACACTATGAATGCAAAGCAAGTAAATCTATTTGAAGTTTGTTTCACTCGATGGGTTCTCCCATATACATAGCTCTCTTATTTCACTCTCAATCTTCACTATTTCTCTCATCAAGCTACTTGTGCAGAATCCCAAGCAGCTGTAATGAAAAAGCATCTGAACTTTAAGCGTCTCCTCGTCTTTGTTGGTATGAGTTTTGTCAGCAATTTCCTCTAGATGTTGGAGGAAAGAGTTTGTAATGCTACCAACCTCTTCATCTATGCTCAAGATCCTTAATGCGTCTGCATTGAGATATTCTTGTGACTCGAGATCGTGAGGAATGTTTTGGCTCTTCAAATCACTTTCAGTTTTCTTAATAGACTTCATTCTTGTTGTCTCTTCCAGGCTTTTCAATATGGGGTCAACTCTGTCTTTAAAACTCTTCACATTCTCATTCCCTCGACCTTGGATGTCCATCCAAATTACTCCATCTTTCTGTGCCAATTGTGTGACATGCTCCATTGAGTACGCCACAAAAAGCAAGAGATCCACCATCCTTGATAGAGATTTCAGCATATTGTTGTAGCAGGCATTATGAAAAGGTAGGAACCAGAAACTTGGCTCCAACTTAGCTTCTTCTGTAAATTCTCCTAATTGACGCACAAGAGATTTAAGCTTCTTCTGCTCTTCTCTCAAGGCTTGGTAACTTGAAGATGGAATCTCTCTTTCGCTAGGGGTAATCACGGCAATCTGCTTAATGCAGTCCTGAAGTGTTCTCAAGGTTTGAGAAAGTTCTGATTTTGCTAGAGTTGCAGCTCTTGAGGGACTTAATATGATCTCTACGACGATAAAGCAAGTGAGTCCTATTGTAGCCTCGGCCATTCTAGCAACTCCAAATTCAGTCGGAGTACTATAGTTCTTCCTACCAAGGATCAACAAGGCCCCTAAAACTGCCGAAATTGCCCCAGATTGGCCATACATTCTACTATGCCTTAGAAAAGAAGTGAAAATGACCCATGGTATAAGAGCTAAGAACCTTAAATCCACAATTCCTACATATTTTTGGAAAATGAAGCTACATATGATCCCGTAGGCTGACCCTATAGCTGTTCCTTGTAGTCGTGAATTTGCAACTAAGAATGTCGGTTGTCGTTCAGTCACGAAACTGATTGCAATTGTGAGCCCTGCCCAATATGCATTATTCCTGTCATATAGCAAACCAAGTAACACAGCAAGGCCTAATGACAGAGAGGACTTGAATGCAAAGATCAAGCCTTTGTTGCTGGGAATCAAGTTCTTTAAAAGCTCACTGATCTTGTTGAAGCACCATTGGCAATCACGACTCTTCTGAGCTTTCTTCATCGCATGGTCGGTTTTCTTCGAAATAGACACGTCATCTACGAGAAGTTGCACACAGTATAAAAAGAACGAGGTTGGAAGATCTTTGTAGGCTATGGATAGGAATTTGTTGAAAATGCCCTGTTTCATTTCTTGAACTGTGGTTGCATCAAAAGGAACAAAGCACTTAGCTTGCTGATCTAATTTTTGGCTGATTTGTTCTCTGCAATCGAGCAGAACACCTCTGAGCTCTTCATCTATAACACCAACAGGAAAAGACATGCCGCTCGATAGAGCAATGTCCATCCCTCTTATCGGTATATCCGAGTCTTGCAGTTTCTCTTCCAGGTCAATACGAGAGTTGGAAATTATCGTTTGAGGTCGATCCCAATACATGCCATCCTGTATAGTCAAAAAATCAAATATTTATCAGTTTATTTGCAACTGCTAGGAAATTAAAAACTGAAACTACTTCAGTGCTGAACCTGAAATCATGAATTAGCCTTTGTTTTACTTACCAGTGTAGTTCTGATACAATGGATAAGCTTGGCTCCTGTTGCGGAGAGGTACTTGGCTTGAATTTTAAAACCAACAGCAGTTGAGTTGTCTGAGGCCGAGATAGCCTCGATATTGCAGTTTAATCTCTCCGACGTATTCTCAGTGTATAATTGGTAGAACTTCTTTGCCTGAAAGAAAGACAATGTACAAAGCGCGTTAATGTCATTTTTAATGAATGAAGTCAATAACGACAACAATTTTCATTTTTACAACAAAAGTGAGCTTCTGCATGAAATTTTCTATAGGCTATATTAACTCTATCAAGATATGTATTTCTTAGTTCTTAGCATCTTGTTGAGGAATATACAGAGACTCCCTATGAACTTTTGTAGTGTGTGTGGTAATGGACAGACATAATAACTTGGTTGCGACAGTAACATGTTGAGTTTTTTTCTTACTTTCCAGTAAAAAAACAAAGATTTTTCTTACTTGCATCAAATTAATATTTGAATACTGTGATGTAAAAGGTGTCAAAGATGCATCGATGAGATCAGAGAAACAAATTGACATTAGTTGTTGCTTGTTTTTCATCCGTTCATTAATTTGTTTCCTACTACAAATCATCATGCTAAATGATGAGAGAATGAACCAAATGTCTTTCTCTTCATGCACATATACACAAACACTTGAAGACAAATTGGCATGCACATATATTTTTATAAGATATTTCAATTCAGCTATTGGTTAATTTCATGTTTTTTACAAGAATTATTGAAGTTATATGGTTAAATTGAACCATATGACAAATGAAATAGTGACATCAGAAAGCACAGAGATTACAGCTTTCATGTATTCTCTTCTCAGAAATATCCAAAGGTTTTGTACAGAGATGGACTCCTGAGGTTTTGGAAGTACTATTATACCAATTATGTTGCTTTTGCCACATTTTGAAAGCGTTATAAAGATTAATTATATCGATCCTAACGAGAGAGATCGTGGTTAACATGATACAAAACTTCTCTGGAAAAAGCAATAACAATATTTTAAGAATATTTAAGGAAAATGCCATTTGGAGTTTTGTGGGATATAGGAAAGATTAATGCCAAATCTAAATTTATTTTAATATAATTAAATATAAAAAATTTATATATGATTGAATAATAAATTTTTATGTTCTATATAGACTAATCTCACGAATTCGGCAACACTATAATGGTTGGCAAAGCTCACACTCAACCGTTTTAAAAGTGGTTGGATGTGTTCGATCATATAACTTTTGATTAAACGGAAAGAAACTAGAATCATCTTATTCAAATACGCGTGTTTTTTCGGTTTTTCGAATTCAATATTTTTATAAGGCTAAAGAAAAGTTTGAGTTACCTCATAGTAAGCAACCCTAGGATAAGGTAGCAACATGGCCAGAACAGAAGCTATAGCACCAAGTGCAGTAGAACAAGCCACATGAATTGAATGTGTAGCCACACCTTCTTCCGCACCATGTATAACCGTACTCACATAAATAATCACAAGCTGTCCATAAGCAATTCTTTTAGTCAACAAGTTCGTCGACACCGGTAACGCCACCACAAACGCCCCGACCGCCACAGCCAGCGCAGCCATGCAGTCCCCGAAGTGACCAGGTCTAATAACTTGCATACTAAGTAGAGAAAATATCATAACCTGAATGGTTGCACATAGAACATGCCAACAACCTTTAACCGTTTCACCAAGTGTTGCATCAGACACTATGAGAATTGTTGTCACATAAGAAATAGATGGAAATTTAATGTAACCCTTTACATGTTCAGAGCTATATAAGGCTGTGACACCAACTATGCTGCATGCTAAGGTTGTTCTAAGAGCAGAACCAAGACGAGTTTGGAACAACTCTGATCTTGTTTTAGCAATTGTTGATGATGTTGATGACATAATGATTTGAGGTACAAGTAAATTATGAGGTGAAGTTTGGGATATTTATAATAACTTGAGGAGTGAGGAGTGTTGAATTTTTGTATTCTTATAATAAATGATAGATAGTGACAAGTAACATTTTATGTGTAAAAGATTGTCCGGCTTTGTGAGTTTACCTTTTGGGTATGGTAGGTTTGTTCTCTAGTGGAATGAAGTTTTTATTAGAAAATGGCAATAATCATGTGAAAAGAATTTTTATAAAAGTGCAAAAGATTTTTCAATACTCACTACTCAATTGTATGTTCAAGCATGTAAATATACTCTTCTGGATGATCAAATGACGGTTAATGTGTCCAAATATATGAAACTTCTCAAAATGAATTGACGATGTGTCAAAACATGTGAAGTATATTCTAGATGAAATGACGTTGTATCCAAACACATGAAATATATTTTTCAAAATGAAATGATGATTAATGTGTCAAAACATGTGAAGTATACTTATTAAATGACGATTAATGTGTCCAAACATGTAAAATATATTTCTCTAGATAAAATGTCTATTAATATGTTCAAACATGTGAAGTATACTCCTCTAAATGAAATGACGGTTAATGTGCCCAAATATATGAACTATATTTTTTTTTAGATGAAATGACGATTAATGTGTTCAAACATGTGAAATATTTTCTTGTAAAGATAAATATGTTCAAATGTATAAACTATACTCTTTTAGATGAAATCACGATCATTATGTCTAAACATGTGAAATATATTAGAAAGATACTTCTTATAACTTGTGTGTCTTTCTTTAAAGTAACTCATTTTTTTTATTTTTTTAAATATCTTTATGATAAATAAAAACCATGAAATGTGGGAGAAAATTAAACACTAAGTAATGGCCTCTATCCCAAAATAAAATTTAAAATATGAACTTACTAAAAAAAACATAACTAAAAACAACAATAAAATTATTATTAAAAAAAAGGATAAAAACTATTATTTAAAGAGAGAGGTACTTTTCTAACCTAGAGAAAAAATATTTATTTAATAGGAGTAGAGAGTAAAAAATAATTAAAATGATTTTTTTATATAAAATTTATAATTAAGAATTAGAAAAAAAAATAGAAGGAAAAAGAACCAAATATTTAAAAATGAAGATACTTCTTCTAACCTACCATGACTCAACTTCTTCAAAAATTGTATTTTCTTTTTTGGTACTTACAAAGAAAAATGCAATTGAAAATTAGAAAACAAGAACAAAATTAGGAAGATAACACATACAAAAAGCATAACAAACAATTAAAAGACAGCACTAAAATTAGGGAAAAAATCATAGATTTAGAGAGCAAGATCTTATAACTCACCCTTTAACATTATTGTCATGCCTTAAAGTATCTATTTTTTTTTTGTTTCTTTAAAATAATTTTTTAATAAATAAAAGTCATAAAATCAGAGAAAGTTAGATTTAGAGAGAAAGATATTTCTTACAACTTATCCTTTAATATTTTTTGCCATGCTTTAAAATATCTCACATTTTTGTTATTTTAAATATAATAGAATATAAAAATCATAAAACGAGGAAGAGAAATTCAACGATAAGTAACACAGAATATTTAAATTAGTGTTTTAAAAAATATCAGATATTTGATCTAATTGTTAGATTGAATAAGTTATCAAACTAGTAAAAATCCGTTAAAACTTATAAAAATTGACGAACATGCGATTTTGAAAAACCAACCGATTAAATAATTTCTTTTTCCCTAAAACATAAAATATCATTTTGATAATTTTTTCAAAAATAAATAAAAATTGAATAAGTAAAAAAATTTCAAAATTTATTTAGAACAACTTTTCTTCTTTAAAATTAAATTTATTAGACATTGCATTTATTTTATTATTTAATTTATTTTGAAATTAAATTTTGTTCAAAATTTATTTGAATTTATATTTTATAATATGTATGACGACTATATTTAGAATTTAAATTTAAAGAATAAATTTGTAAAATTATAATATATTTAAATTTTGATATTTTTATAAGTGTCGTTATTTAAATTTTAAAAAAACAGATTCATGAGGTTTGAGCTTTTTAATAACTATATAATTTTTTTATAGAGAATATTTTATTTAATCAAATTATTCGATTTAATACGATTTAGTCATGCAGTTTTTGTTATAGTTATATAGAGAGCGTTTATTTAACTGAATTATTCTATTTAATAGGATTTAATCATGCGGTTCGACCAATGACTGAGTGATTCAATCAATGAACAAATGACTCAGTATCCTCACATATTTAATAATCAATTTAATTTTTAAAATATTGTTAAAAAAAACATAACTGAAAATTCAAAAACAATAATAAAGTTAGAAAAAGTGGACAAAAACCATATGTATGATTTGAAGAGGTAGACACTAAAGAAAAAATATTTATTATTAAGAGTAGAGAGAAAAAAATTAAAATAATTTTATTATATAAAATTTGTAATTAAGAATTTAAAATGAATATACTTTTTCTAACCAACCATCTCCTGACTCAACTTCTTCAACAATTCTGTATTTTTAGGCATCTATTAAAAATGCAATTAAGAATTAAAAAACAACAATAAAATTAAAACATAACAAAAGTTTAAAAGACAACACTAAATTTGAAATATATATATATATATATATATATATATATATATATATATATATATATATATATATATATATATATATATATATATATATATATATATATATATATATATATATAAATGGTAGATTTATGGAAGAAGTTACTTCTTATTACACAACCTTTAACATTATTTCGTCATGCTTTAAATATTTTCATTTTTTTTTAGTTTCTTTAAATATCGGAATGATAAATAAAAACTATAAAATGAAGGAGAGGAATTCACCACTAAATAAAATAATGACATCTAGTACTTTAAAATAAATACCTACAAAAAAAAAATTAAAAATATGTACTTACTAATAGAAAAGATAACTAAGAATTAAAAAAAAATATATTAAAGTTAAGAAGAGAGTACAAAAACCATGATTTAAAGAGGTATAGATACTTCTTCAAACTTATAAAACAATAATTAAATTTAATAGAGAGTATAAGAAAACAATATAGTTGTTTAGTGATATATATATATATATATATATATATATATATATATATATATATATATATATATATATATATATATATATATATATATATATATATATATATATATATATATATATATATATATATATATATATATATATATATATATATATATATATATATATATATATATATATATATATATAATTGCGAGATTTTGATTCTAATATAATTAATCTAACAATATTGATATTTATCATCTTTTATGTATAATATGAGTCATATTTCATATTTTTTTCCCAATATATATATATATATATATATATATATATATATATATATATATATATATATATATATATATATATATATATATATATATATATATATATATATATATATAATTGTAAGATTTTAATTTTAATTAAAATAAAGATGATCAATTTAATAATATCAACTGTTCTATATGGATAATTGTATAATCGCAAGTTTTAATTCTAATCAAAATAAAGATGATTAATCTAACAATATCAATTTTTATCATCTGATATACATAATATGAATCACACTAACACTTTTTGTTAATAATGCACATAATTGTGAGATTTCGATTCTAATCAAAACAAAGATGATCAACTTAACAATATCGATAACTATCTTCTGAACTAAATCTTACGAGCCATACTATTTAACAAAATTTCGACAACCCACCGTGATTATGACAATGTGACCGTTAATCCAAACATGTACTAAGTGCTAAATAAATTTGATCCAAACACTTACCTAAAATACACATACTATTGTAAATGATAACTTAGCCTCCTGACGTGGAATTAGTCTCATTAGCATTTAAGTAACAAAAATACAGTTGCCTTATGTGTGGTGTGGAATCCAAACTGAAAACAATAGTTGAGCCACAAACCCAACAATTTGCTTATTTTGAGTTCTAAGTAAATTCTAACGCAGGGCTACAATTTCATCAATCAAATCAGAATTGACATTAAGTGATTATCTTGTCTCTCCACCTATCATTTTTCTCTCTATTTATTACTTCTCTTTTCATACACATGTTTTTCTTTATTATTATTATTATCTAATCTTATATACAAATTCTAGACATTTCTCCTTGCATATGCAATGATAAGCAAGAAATTTATTGCTACAGTTCATATTCCGGTACGTGGAACTTTCTAGCCATTGCAAGATTTTAGTGTTAAATACGTTTGATATTTGATACGTGTCAGTACACTTTATCGAATTATTTTTATCTTTTAAATTATTGTCGATGTTTGTTAAGAATTTGGAAAGGATTAGTAAAGAGAAATTTTTATTGAGTTCACTGTGATTGAGAAGTTTGTATGAAAATTAATGACACACTAAATGCAGTGTATGATACTAATGCATGATTTAGACGAGAAAAATATTGTGAATCCGTTAAAGTAATGTCCTATGATCTGCTGACAGATATATTTTCATTTCTCAGATCTTTTTGTGCCTTGAGAATTAGTTAACACCAAGGGACATGACTGAATTATTAATGGTGGATAGAGTTCCCTCTAACCTAGGGTACTGGGTTCTTCACAAATCCACCAGAAAGAAATGTTGGAAAAGTACTTGTATAGATAATCATTAATGAAATATGTGACACCAAGAAAAATGACTCATCAAAATATCAAATGGGGTGTTTAATATACTATTGAACTAAAGATTAATATGTTATTATTTGATGCAAATGAAATCTCAATAACACTGCATGAATCAACAAAGATATAATAAAGCAATAGCTAAATTAGTTGAAACAAATCAGAGACATGGACAAATGGACAAGTGTGTTCTAGGATGGATATCACTTGTAAAAATGGTGCATGAGTGGCCCTTTTGTCATATAGGATAATCCTCATCAGGCTACACT